GAAGGTGTGCGGTCTACTGGGAAGCAACAGATGTTCACAGTGCCACTTCCGTTGTCTGCTCCTTCAGCAACATGATGGGCTGTGCGATTGCCTGAAGGATTCACACATCTGCGGCAAGCAATGCGACAAGCTGGCTTGGTCCAATGGAACTAAAGTTGTTTGCACGCGCACCTGTATCGAGAAAGCAGCGCATGAGGACTGGGAGAGCGAACCTGGAGCACGTTTGCACAAATGTGAGGCATACGAAGCCCCCGACAGACACATGTGCCGATTGCAATGTGATCTGGCATCATCAAGGACGTGTCACAAGAAGTGTGTTCTATTTATCGATCACCCTAATCAGCATCTCTGTACTCTACCAACTGAGGAACATCTCTGTAGTACACCGTGCCATCTCAGCTCCCACCCGATCAGTCCTAGCAATGAAATCGGAGATCTTCATCCTCCATGCGCGTCACCAATCATTACTGACCACACTCATCTCTGTGGCAATGAGCACAAATGCGTAGCTCTGTGTGACGACAAAGATGGCATATGTGAAATAAGCCGAGAGCCCTTGGATGGAGATGCATGGAAGCTCGAACCTGGCCGTGATGGCTATCGACTTCAATGCTCAATCCTTATACCAGCCAACCTGACTAATCACACTGCAGATGCCACTCACCACTGTGGAAAGGTTCACAGATGCGGAGTCATGTGCCCTATGTGCAGCTGTTACTGTGACAAAGAGATAGACCATGACGGCCTGCACTCCATTGAAGATCACGGAAAAGTCGTCAATACCGCAGCAGTTCTGCAGAAAGAAACCAGAGATCTAGTCAGTAATGGATCAGATTTCACTTGCAAAAAGCTCTGCATCTCAGCAGGACGAGGACACATTCACTTAATGACAACCAGAGACAGTGCTGTCCAGGGTAAGAATGCTGGGGAAGTTGATCACTGTCGTTTTTGGTCTCATTTCAACTTTGAAGACCCGTGCAGCAGTGATACTGATCGAGAGATCTTCGGTCGATGCTCAGCATACTGCCACGACTGCTTACCTGCAGACTGTGAGGATTCAAGCAGTGGCATTCAGGATAACAACCATTCTGCTGGACTCTACTGCACTGAAGCAGTGCTACATGGCAGATTAACGGGTCCGGCAAACAACTCCGATGGCTACACCAGTATTGAGAGAGACTACCAGCAGTCAGGAACACTGCCTGGCCATCACTTTCTCTGCCGAAAGCAGCACACATGCCATGGTAGATGTGAATGCATTGATGGCAATGAGCAGTGCAGTGAGCGATGCCAGAAAGAGATCTCTCACGACGGTACGTGTTCATGTGGAAAGTTCCATCGATGTGGCGACACGTGCAGTGTCAAGAAGACCTCGCGAGATGAGACAATCAATTGCACCAAGCAATGCCACGAGTCTTCTGAGAAAATTGATCACATATGCTACTGCGACGACACAAAGTGCCATGCGGTATGTAACATCCAAGAGTGCAGAAATCAATGCAATCTTCATCATCAGCATGAAGGCGATCTGCATGACTGTGAACAGGATCATTCTTGTGCTGCACCATGTCAAGATGATGGTCGTTGTGAGCAGCAGCAGCAGTCAGGAGAAGAGGTTGATGGACAAAGTGTTCCAAGGGCAGAAAATGCAGGGCAGGCAGATATCTGGCAGAAGCTCACGTGCAACATTCCGCTAAAACGTGGAGTTCGCAGTCATACAGGATCTCACTCTTGCAAAGGTATTCATCTGTGTATGAACACATGCCCTCATTGTGCAGCGCCGTGTTTTCTTCAAGTCAATCACACAACACTTATGCACGAGGCAGACCACAGGCCCTTCACAAGCGGAAGGAGGTTGCAGATATTTTACGGCGACAAGCGGGAAGTTCGGAGCACGCACCAGACGACCTGTGCTACCGCTTGCAAGACTGCTGGTGCTGGTCATTTTCACGTGCTTGGAAAGTGTGAAAACAAGGCACATTGCACAGTGGACCCCGGTCAAATACGGCATTACCAGTGGCAAGGGCAGTGTCTGCATATTGCGTCTCACGCCACATTCTGGCAGTCAATATCATACAAAGATCCCTACTCTGACAAGGAAGTCTCTTTCTTCCAGTCCTGCCATGTGCTATGCACTAAAAGGCATGGTGAAGAGGACAGACCTCACTGTGCTGGAGAGATGTGGCATGCATCATACCGTATGCAAAGGCCAGGCTATGTCATGGGTGTCATAGATCAGCTATCACTCCAGCGGACCACCGTCTTTCATTTCTTTGAGAAGGACCAGCACAAGTGCGCCGAGCGCTGCACAATTCGCAACGCAGGAAATCTTTGCAATCGTGGATGCCAGAAGCAGATCCAGCATAACTGCTCCCCTCGGTGTGAGGCAGATTGCCCTGGAACTGGTGACCCCAAACACTTTTCAGGTGTTCCACAGCATCATTGCTGCAAAGAACATGACTGCAGAGAGTTTTGTGACAGCTCTCATCCCGGTGTTTGCTTTCTTGCATCAACTGACAGCCCTGCTCCAATCGGAAGCCGGCGTATACGTCAGAACAGCAATGCCTACCGCGTGAAGTGCAGTGTGGCATATCCTGTGGGCCAGTCTGATCATGGAAAGCGACAAGAGTCTCACAGCTGCGGTAGAGAGCACACCTGTGAGAAGTTCTGCCCTCTGTGTGAGCGCTACTGCAGATTGCTCTATGCTCACTCAGGGCCCTGCGAAACAGACCATGGATTTGTAATCAACACCAAGAAGGCAGTTATTACAATGCAGGATGGCACCAAACTAACAATCACTGGTCACCAACAAACCTGTAGTGAAATTTGCAATGCTGCCGGTCCCTCACACTCACACCATGTACCGTGCACCTGCACGGCACATGAACGCTCTACCGACTTGCAACCACAGCTATTTCACACGCATGCAAAGGCTACGCAAGGCACTGCATCTGACTTGACATCACATCGCGTCTTCTGGGAAGAGAATGGATTTCAAGATCCGTATGTCTCAAGAGCAGACATGGGTGAAGACTTCTCCAGATGCAGTGCTCAGTGCAACCATCAGCTAGATGTCGATGAAGACGGCAAAGCTGAGGCGTCCAAGTGCTATTTAGAGCTATACCATCCGCCAGTGGACATTCAGGTGTATAAGGACAAGATGGGTCACATTGAATACGAGAAGGACCCTGTCAAGCCCATGCATTACTTTCAGTGTGAGCACCAGTGCCTACATCGATGTGACAAGAGAGACAACGGAGAACAGTGCAAAGGACAATGCAAGCATCAAGCTGGTCACCAAGCACATGGAATCAACCAATGTGAGTGCACCGAGCCACTGCATCGTTGCGGAGAACCATGCATCAACGACAATTGCAGCGTGGGCTGCACTGAAGAATGGTCAATGGAGCATTCCATTCACTGGTGCAAGGAAGAGAAATGTCCAGGTACATGTACCTACACGACTTGCAACCAACCATGCAGCCTCCATCATATCCACACAGGAGAGGATTGTGACTGCGGAGATAGTCACCAATGTGCAGGAAAGTGTGATATGCCAGGAGTTTGCCTACTTGAAGGTGATGATCAGGAGGCTGAGGCTGATAGTGATTGTAGTATTGCAACCCCAACTGCTACATATCGACGCTGTAGTGTAACCTTGGCTGCTGGAAAAAGAGAGCACAATGGTTCTTGCAACTGTGGCACTCAACACACCTGCCTGCAACGATGCACTTGGTGCAAATCGTTTTGTTCGCTACAACATCAACATGATGAAAGTGATCATTATGCCAAGCATGGACGTATCACAGGTGCTGCTCTGCCTGCGGTGCTGTGCACAGTCTTTGACAAATACGGACAGACAATGATCTCCCGTCTTGGTGCTTCAGCATCACTCAGATGCGACGAAGTGTGTCGCAAAGCAGGCCCTTCTCACAGTCATTCTCGCCTTCCTGTTGAGAGCAAGAGTGAATCGTCTCTAACTCCCGATGCCGGTGTGAACGGTGTAAGCAGCTTTGGATCGAAGCACACGCTGTGTACTACACGGCCCGAGGAACGTTTGCGACATGACAAATTCTGGAAGGAAACCAGTTTCAACGAGCCTAGTTTCACAGTTGAGGAAGCGGCTGCATTTATTGAATGTCCTGTCATGTCCGAATGGCCACCTTGCCCTCTTGGAGAAGATGAAAAGCATGAAATCGTTCCTTGCGATCTAGGATTGTTCCACAAGCTTGTTTCAGGAGATGAATTTATGGGTACACCTGGCTTTGTGAGCACAAGCAGAGATTTGGAGTTGCCAGGACATCACTTCCCCAAGTCACATCCATGCCCTCTCTCTTGCAACCGACTGGTGGATCAGGAGAAATGCAAGACAGGCTGCTCATTGGGTGCCGGACACATTGCTGAAGCATGCGACTGTGACAGCTTTCACCGCTGCGGTGCTAGATGCAGTGGGCGAGACTGTGTCAAATTATGTGAGCAATCTTCCGCCGAGAATCATGTATGTGACTGCGGAGATAGAGGATGCATATCAGAATGCGATCATAAGAACTGCTTGGAAACGTGTGATCTGGAACATCCCCATCTGCCCAAACATGACTGCAGAAAACGCCACCGTTGCCCTGAGGTCTGCACAAAGCCTGGCATCTGTATTCTACGTACTAAGCTTCCTGAAAGTTCTACGGACCTGGGACAGGAGAAAGAGCAGGTGATTGCAAGGCAGTGCGAGGCTTTTCTGGAGTCAAATGAGTGGAGTCATACAGAAGAGCATAGCTGTGGAGAGCAGCACACTTGTCCTGAGCAGTGTCCAATGTGCAAGCATTACTGCAGCAAAGAATTTGGCCATGGTGGCCTCCACTGCATTGAAGATCACGGTCCAGTCATTGATCCAGCAGCTGTTCTGCAGAATGAAACACGAGATGCAGTCATTGTCAACCAAGATGCTCGAATGACATGCCAACAGTTCTGTGTCTTTGCCGGACAAGGGCACATACACTTGAGAGCGGGGTATGATGGCGAGCAAGCGGCAAATTGCAACCATTCTGATTATTGGTCTTTGTGTGAATTCGAAGACCCTTGCTCTGCCGCTGAAGGTGAGATCCTCTCTCAATGCTCTGCCTACTGCCATGACTGTGCGAAACTCGAGTCCACAGCTCCGGATGGAGACAGCGGTTCACGTGTAGGACGTGAAGAGCGTCGCAACCACTGTACACATCCAGTTCTGCACGACAACCTAGCCGGGCCGCACAACGGCTTGCTAGGTTACATCAGCACGGGGAAAGACTACGCGGAATCGGGCACGCTACCCGGCCATCACTTTTTCTGCCAGCACACATGCCATGGCAGGTGTGTGTGCCTAGCTGGCAGTGAGCAGTGCAACAATCCTTGCAAGCTAATCATTTCCCACGGCGGTGACTGTTCGTGCTTGGAATTTCACCCATGCGCTGGAACGTGCGCTGTCACAGCAATCTCGCGTAATGAAACATTCGACTGCACGAATTCCTGTTGCGCGTCATCAGAGGTTGTTGATCATGTGTGCTGTTGTCGTGGCACACAGTGCAACGCTGTATGCGACATCCAGGAATGCCGGAATCAATGCACTCGCAGCCATCAACACGGTGGTGATAAGCACGACTGTGGAGAGACCCATGCATGTGCTTCACCATGTAAAGATGATGGCCGCTGTCAGCAGCAGCAGAAACCGCAGCAGCAGGTGGAAGAAGAAGTACATCTGGATACGAAAACAGTCAGTGCAAGTCAGAAATCCAGTTGGCATAAACTGGCGTGCAGCGCTCGTCTAGAAGTCGGAGTACGCAGTCACTTGGGTTCTCATTCGTGCAATGGCCTTCACCTGTGTACCCACCAGTGTCGGCATTGTGCTGTGCCGTGCCATCTTGAGGCCAATCACACGGCCGCTCTCCACGAGGCAAACCATGGCCGCCTGGAGATTGATCAGGAGTATCCGATCTTCTCCGCCAGCCTATCAAGGATCGCTGTCCCATTGGGAACACCGTGCAGCATAGCTTGTCTGAAAGCAGGCCCTGGACACATGCATGTTTTGGAACACTGTACGCACATGAAACAGTGCGTACCCTACCCCAGAGATAAGCAGCATCTCAAAGTCGACGAGCAGACATGCCTTGTACCTCACGCAACATTCTGGCAGGCTAACGAGTTTCAAGATCCCTACCCGGAGCATATTCGGATTGAATTCCAATCATGCAATGCTAAATGTCCTCGTTGCCCTGAAGGTAATGTCGCTAACCACTGCGAGGGTGAAATGTGGCATGAGTCATACCGATGGCAGCTTGGGCGTTATGTCGAGGCGCTACCAAACCCTTTACAGAGAAAGCAGAACATTGTCCATTCATTCTCTCATCGACACCAGTGTACGTTTCAGTGTGATATTTCTGATGCTGGGCCTCGTTGTGAAGCCTTCTGCTGTCGTCAGATTGGCCATGAGTGCTCTGATCGTTGCAGCATTGATTGCCCAGGCAAGGGTGATGAGAGTCACCAGCGTGCACAAGGTGATCCTACTCATCACTGCTATAAAGAACACCAATGCGGGCACGAGTGCAGCGTCACCAAGGGAATCTGCTTCCTGGAATGGCCAGAAAAGGAGAAGTACGCCCCAGCCGGTAGTCGACATCTCCAACACAATGGAAATGGATACAGGTTGAAGTGCAAAGCCATGCTTCCGATCGGCAAGAGGGATCACTTGGGCGGGCAGAGCAGTCATACGTGTGGCAACGTACACACATGTGCAAAACGCTGTCCTTTCTGTGAACGATACTGCACTTTGGAGGAAGGCCATAAACCACCCTGTGACACCATCCACGGCCTTGTTATCAACACCACAACCATCAAAGCCAACCGCAATGATAATAGCCCAGTCATGCGTCACAATCAGGTGACCTGCAGTACCATGTGCGACTATGCCGGACCATCTCATTCTCACGAAGTACCGTGCTGCTGCGAGACTTTCAGCCGCAAAGAAAAACCATTCTACAGTCATTGGAGAACTTTGCCATTTCTGTCCAAAGACTTGACCTCACACGGTGAGTTCTGGAGAAGGACTGGATTCGTAGATCCGTACTCTTTGGTGTCAGCACCAAGCAAGGCAACGGAGTTCTCACGTTGCCTAGCTACATGCCAGTACAAGGATCATGAGAGCAGCAGCCTTGTGCAATGTGATGAGGAGCTCTACCACCAACCGCTCAATGCAGCTGCCTACATTGATAAAGGAGGATATCTGGATTACAAAAAGAGTGATTTGACACAGGCACTGCATCATTTCCCGTGCACGCACAACTGCAACAAGCGTTGTGACAAGATGGACAATGGGGAGAAATGCGAAGGTTTGTGCAAGCATCAGGCTGGCCATCCAGGACGTGGCATACAACAGTGTGAGTGCATCAAGCCGCTGCATCGTTGTGGAAAGCCCTGCATCAATCTCCAATGTAAAACACCATGTACTGATGAATGGCTAACGGAGCATTCCCTCCACTGGTGCAAAGAAGAGAAATGTCCAGGTACATGTAAGTACAAGACCTGCCACAAACCATGCAGTCTCAATCATATCCACACGGGAGAATGTGACTGCGGAGAAAGTCACCAATGTGCAGGAATGTGTGATATGCCAGGAGTTTGCCTACTTCAAGATAATGAGAAGGAGGCTGAAGCTGATAGTGATCGTAGTAATGCAACACCAGCTGCAACACTTAGGCGTTGTAGTGTGATTCTGGCTGCTGGAAAACGAGAGCACAGTGGTTCTTGTGACTGTGGTATTCAACACACCTGCCTGGAACAATGCACTTGGTGTAAATCGTTTTGTTCGCTGCAACATCAACATGGTGGAAGTGATCATCATACGAAGCATGGACGTATCACAGATGACGCTCTGCCTGCTGTGCTGAGCACGGTCTTTGACAAATATGGACAACCGCTGATCTCTCATCTTGGTGCTTCAGCATCTCTCAGATGCGATGAAGTGTGTCGCCAAGCAGGCCCTTCTCACAGTCATTATCGCCTTCCTGTTGGGGTAAAGAGTGCACAAGTCACAGCACCTCTCCAAAGTAATGTTGTTGATGCAAGGATTGACGGCTCAGAACATCTGCTGTGCACAGTACGACCAGCTGAACGATCAAGACATGATGAGTTCTGGACGGACAGTAAATTCAACCAACCAAACTTCACAGCTAAGGAAGAGAATGAATTTGTTGCATGCCCGGTGCTGTCCAAGTGGCTACCCGGCCTGCTTGGAGAGGGAGAAGAGTGTGAGGGATATCAGTGCGACCAGGGATTGTTCCACAATCTTGTTTCAGGAGATGAATTTATGGGTACACCTGGCTTTGTGAGCACAAGCAGAGATTTGGAGTTGCCAGGACATCACTTCCCCAAGTCACATCCATGTCTTCTCTCTTGCGGGCAATTGGTGGATCAGGAGAAGTGCAAAGCAGGTTGCTCATTGGGTGCCGGACACGTTGCTGAAGCATGCCATTGTGACGCCTTTCATCGCTGCGGTGCTGGATGCAGTGGGCGAGACTGTGTCCAATTATGTGAGCAATCATCAACCGAAGAACATGTATGCGACTGCGGAGGTACAGAATGCAGATCAGAATGCGATCATAAGAACTGCTCGGAAAGGTGTGATCTGGAACATCCCCATCAGTCTGAGCATGACTGTGGTGAACGTCACGGCTGCTCTGAAGCCTGTAACAGACCCGGAATCTGCCTGCAACGCACTGCACTTAAGCCTGGGAGCGACACTAGTGGGCAGATGGTATCAAGGCCGTGCTCAACTTCCCTTGAACGTCATCTGTGGGACCATGGTGAAGAGCATGATTGTGGTGAAGAGCACACTTGCGATACGCAATGTCCGCTGTGCCATCAGTACTGTTCTCGTGAGCATGGTCATACTGGTCGACACACAACAAACCACTCGCACGTGATCGAGAGTGAGCCGCAAACGATCGTCCTTGACCGCAACGAAGAATTGTGCGACACAGACGCAGCAACGTGCCAAACCATCTGCAGTATTGCTGGACCTGGCCACTCTCACGTCATCACTCATGGTGCTGGCGGCTGTTCCGGGGATAGAGAAATCTGCCGTTGTACCACTGCCGGAGTTCATCACACAACGCACAGGAACTTCTGGAGAGAGCTCAACTTCGAAGATCCCACCACTCCCGAGGAGCAGGTAGCTTACGCTCGCTGTCATGTTCACTGCAACCATCAGGACCATGCCAAAGATGGTCATCCCGTTCTCTGCAGTGGAGACCAGTGGCACACGTTCTTCTCCGATTTATCAGCCTTCGGTGGCGTTGGTTACGTTGGTACAACTGTCGGTTCTGAGTGCCAAGGGCATCATTTCGAATGTGACGGCCATGCGTGTGACGCGTTCTGCTGCCGCGAGGAGCACGCCAATCGAAAGTGTTGCCTAGGTCTTGGTCACAGCTGTTCGGCCGACTGTCCAGTCCACTGCAAGGGCTATGGCGAAACGCATCAGAGCGAGGGCAATGTAGTACACATGTGCCGAGAGGATCATACGTGTTTAGAGCCATGTGCTGGGACACCGGGACACTGTCAGCAAGTTCTGTCCGCCAACTGTTCAGAACCGAAGCGTCTCAACTGCCAGAAAATTATCCCATCAGGAAGAATACATCATACAGGAGTGCACCACCATAACTCGCACCAAGATGAACTTCCAGCCATCACTTCCCGCACCGCTCTTGGTAGTGTCCATGTCCCTAGCAGCACTGTGCATGACGGCCAGCACTACTGTACTGTGATGTGTCCAATGTGCTTCATGGCCTGTGAGCACGCTGCTGGCCATGGCGGTCCACACAGCACCACACACGGCACAGCCATTGGCCCGTCAGCGAGCCAGTTTGACTTAACGAAACAGTGGGTTGTCGTCACTAGTTCTGGTAAAGATGTTAAAGTCACTGATTCTATGTCATGTGCTGAAGCATGTGCCAAAGTGGGGCGAGGACATTACCACATGCAGAAGTGTGCAGTACCGAATAGCTGCAGACTACGCAACGAGCACCAAGCTCTCCATAAGAATGGTTACCATGCAGTGTCTCATCAGCTGTTCTGGGCATTGTTCAAATTCGAGAGCCCGTCTCAGCGTTCACTGGTGAACAACAGTTTTCAGAAGTGTGGAGTTTTCTGCCCACATCCTACGCACTCAGACGGAGCCGTGTACTGTGAGCTAGAATTTCATCATCCATCCAAGTACTTGTACGACCCAGTTCCTGGCTATCGCTCTACAGAGCGAGGCTGCCTCCTGAGATGTCAGCACGACTGCCAAGGTACCTGCAAATTCCACGGCAAGAGCCGGTTGTGCCTGAAAAAATGTGCTTCTGAATCCGGTCATGCTGAACCTTGCAAGTGCTCTGCAGCCCAGCACGCATGTCGTGAATTTTGCATCGCATGCGTAGACCAGTGTGCAATTACCTTGGAAATGGCCGAGAACCATAAGCACTCATGCCGAAAAGAGAAGCCGTGTGAAGCTGCCATGTGCGACTTCTGGTACGGTGAAGGGCTTGCCCAGTGCAGTCGAACGTGCCGGAAGGAGCATTGCCACATCAACCGACAGGAAGATATCCTACATGACTGTCAGCAGGATCATCCATGTCGATCATTGTGTGCACAAGGCGGCCGCTGTCCACTTGCAATAGCTCAACCAGGAGAGGCGGTATCTTGCCAAGCACACTGTGCTCAACCTGCCCGTCACGAGGATACACATTCATGCGGCAGTCCCCCACATGAGCACCTCTGCGATAGGCAGTGCCCGGTATGTAGAGTGCACTGTAGTCTGAGAGTCCACGCAGAAGATGAGCATCATGACATCGCTCACGCAAAACTCAGCGCTGGGAGCGTCTATTCGGTTGTGCTCAAAGCTGACGGCAATCCTTTCCAGCCGCAACGCCAGGCCAGTTGTGGAGAGATATGTGTACTGGCAGGACGAGGACACTTGCACCATGTACCTTGCCCGGATTCCTGTGAGCGTCGAGAATTCACCAGGGCAGGCATGCAATGCCACACCGCTGCTGGCAAGCACTACATGACTCATCGGCAGTTCTGGAAGGAGCTGCGATTCCCCGATCCTGCATTGAGCTTAGCCGCATCTGCTCATCCACCGGAGTTCAACCTATGCAACGAGATATGCCATGAGGGAGAGCAAGACTGCCAAGAGTCATTCTGCAACCTAGACGTGCTCCATAGTCTGGACTGTGAGAAGCCCAATGTGGGGAAGGAATCCCGCGGCCATCACTTTGAAGACTGTCGACAACTCTGTCGCGCAAAATGTAAAAAGCGTCATGTTTCCTTCAACAATAAATGCATCAAGCCCAAAGGCCATGGTTCAACAGCAGGGCATCTCTGTAACTCCTGTGCAGAGAGTTTATCAGCAGCAGCTGCGGCGGCCAGAGATACCAGTGATTCACGTACCCAATGCGCTACAACCTGTCCCTTGTGCAAAGTGCGTTGTAAGCTGCCACCGCATGATCGTGATGAGCTGCACGACTGTCGTCATGCCCGAATTACGGCGGAAATGAGCAAGGTAGTATACGATGAAATCATCAAGAAGAATAAAACCAAGGTCTACGGCAGTGTTTCGACAGACGGCCACACATGTGCAACGCTATGTAAGACATTGCGACCTGACCACAGTCACTTCATCCATGACTGCAAGGGAGATCTGAGAAGATGCAAAAGACAGCCCAACATCCGGCATGAACAAGCGGTCAAGAAAGATGTCACCGATCACGACAGTTTCTGGAGGTTGAAAGGATTTGTCCCACCACCGTGCTTGGGTACAGCGAAGAGATACTAGACTGCCTATAGCCAAGTAAGTGATCTACTAGTGATACTGTTCTTGACAATTAAATCCTGCGTGGAGAATACGCTTTACCCCCCCCCCCCCCCCCTCCCCACCCATGCACAGCCTAGTTTCTGCAGGTCTGGGGCTGCGGGGTACCCTGCACCCGTGCACGGCCACGTGTTCGCAGGTCTGGGGCTGCATAGCACCCAATGCAAGGCTGACTCAGTCAACTGGATTTTATTTTGTATTGTACCCCGCTGAAGTTTGTAATTGTCCATTTTAGCAAAAAATTGACTGAGGAAATCATTATACCCGTAATATCAAGGAAGTGTTTAGAAGCAAATCGCGACTTATCCGTTTCATTAATAATTATTTTCAGGTAATGGCCAGTGAGGACTTCTTTCATGTGCAGTTTGAATATTTGAACCCAATAAAAAGAAGAAGAAAAATTCCACTGCTTGCGTGAGTCTTGGCTGGAGGCCGAGTTTTCCGCATCCGTAGGTACGCCACCACCCTCTAGGATCAAGGCATCCGTAGGTACACCACCACCCTCTATGATCAAGGCATCCGTAGGTACACCACCACCACCCTCTAGGATCAAGGCATCCGTAGGTACACCACCACCCTCTATGATCAAGGCATCCGTAGGTACACCACCACCCTCAAGGATCAAGGCATCCGTAGGTACACCACCACCCTCTATGATCAAGGCATCCGTAGGTACACCACCACCCTCTATGGTCAAGGCATCCGTAGGTACGCCACCACCCTCTAGGATCAAGGCATCCGTAGGTACGCCACCACCCTCTATGATCAAGGCATCCGTAGGTACACCACCACCCTCTATGATCAAGGCATCCGTAGGTACGCCACCACCCTCTATGATCAAGGCATCCGTAGGTACGCCACCACCCTCTATGATCAAGGCATCCGTAGGTACGCCACCACCCTCTATGATCAAGGCATCCGTAGGTACGCCACCACCCTCTATGATCAAGGCATCCGTAGGTACGCAACCACTCTCTAGGATCAAGGCATCCGTAGGTACACCACCACCCTCTAGGATCAAGGCATCCGTAGGTACACCACCACCCTCTATGATCAAGGCATCCGTAGGTACCCACCACCCTCTAGGATCAAGGCATCCGTAGGTACACCACCACCCTCTATGATCAAGGCATCCGTAGGTACACCACCACCACCCTCTAGGATCAAGGCATCCGTAGGTACACCACCACCCTCTAGGATCAAGGCATCCGTAGGTACACCACCACCCTCTAGGATCAAGGCATCCGTAGGTACACCACCACCCTCTAGGATCAAGGCATCCGTAGGTACACCACCACCCTCTAGGATCAAGGCATCCGTAGGTACACCACCACCCTCTAGGATCAAGGCATCCGTAGGTACACCACCACCCTCTAGGATCAAGGCATCCGTAAATACACCACCACCCTCTAGGATCAAGGCATCCGTAGGTACACCACCACCCTCTATGATCAAGGCATCCGTAGGTACACCACCACCCTCTATGGTCAAGGCATCCGTAGGTACGCCACCACCCTCTAGGATCAAGGCATCCGTAGGTACGCCACCACCCTCTAGGATCAAGGCATCCGTAGGTACACCACTACCCTCTAGGATCAAGGCATCCGTAGGTACACCACCACCCTCTAGGATCAAGGCATCTGTAGGTACACCACCACCCTCTAGGATCAAGGCATCCGTAGGAACACCGCCACCCTCTAGGATCAAGGCATCCGTAGGAACACCACCACCCTCTAGGATCAAGGCATCCGTAGGAACGCCACCACCCTCTAGGATCAAGGCATCCGTAGGAACGCCACCACCCTCTATGAATCAAGGCATCCGTAGGTACGCCATCACCCTCTATGATCAAGGCATCCGTAGGTACGCCACCACCCTCTATGAATCAAGGCATCCATAGGTACACCACCACCCTCTAGGATCAAGGCCTCCGTAGGTACGCCATCACCCTCTATGATCAAGGCATCCGTAGGAACGCCACCACCCTCTAGGATCAAGGCATCCGTAGGAACGCCACCACCCTCTATGATCAAGGCGCAGATGCAGATCCTAAGCAGTGGGAAGTGAGTAGATCACACCTACCAGAAAGTGGTCAAAGACCGCAAATGGCATTCGCTGCATCCATGCTTTTCTCGTGCCAGGCAAGGAGTTCCCAGTTAACTGTGGGTCGCAGCACGGCTGGAAATAATCCTTCCGTTTCCAAGCAGGACTTCAACCTAGTACCCTCTGTTTCTCAATCATGGTCTTAGACCATCCCACTATGCCTGCCTGCCTGTCAAATAAAATGAGCAAGTATTTTAACTTTTAAAAAAGGTTACTGCCATAGGGACCGCCAGGTGATCAAATCATGAGTGTTTTCAGTGTAGGGCAGACTGTTTGAAGGGCAAAGGGCTTGAGATCGAGGTGCTTTCAAGTCGTCCTTTTGCTCGTTTCAATAAGATAAACTGTGAGAAGTGACAGTTGCTCAGCTTTACTGTGGAAAGTGAGTCCAGTCGGGTGACTGCAGTCAATTTATTCTACACACCTTCCCCTTTTCACCTCCTGCAAACGGACGCACTTTTAAGGGGAACTGTTGCGAAACATGCTAAGTCATGTTTTGTAGTCATTTATTGTGTTGCTTCACACAGGGAACATTGAAAATTTATAAATGACGTATCTTCGTGCTCACACATATAACTAAGATTCTCGCAGAAGATTTCGAAGAGATGAAAGCTGTTCATTTACCGCATTGTCCCCATTATAAAAGTACAGTTATTTTCATATTTCAAAGGTGGCCGGCCCTGTACTACTAAAAGAGACTGTACTAGTATTGGAGACTGTTCCTTTATTGATTCTGGCAAGTTTGATCGCCTGCCATAGGTGCCGTACCGCTCACAATAATGATACTGTGCGGCTATAGATGCCTTCAACAACACTCCAGCTAAGGTACCAAGCAGTGTAGCAAGGCACAAAGATTATAAATGGGTCAGAAAAACTAAGTAAAGTGGATCCAGGTATATGTAGTCCAGTAGTGGCCATCGCATCATTCTTGCATGTACTGCTTTTAGAGACATGACCTTTAATATTTTCGATCCACGCTCAACATTAGGTACTATTGTACTACAAGCTACTATTGCAGATGTGTACGTTTACTGGAGGAAATATAGTAGTTGTGGAGTTAGATATAGGAATCTCCATTTTGGCGCTTTTCGTGTCCACGATGAACACATCTGCGCGGCCCTTCTGTCCAAGTGTACAAGGCACACATCCACTGCAAATTCAAAACAGCTTGTGTGGCCAGCAAAGAACACTTGCTTGAATTCGTTTTGACGGCGAATATATTATTATACACGCTGATCTCAAGTTCGATGTGACGTCACGCTGCACTTTGGGACAATTCAAGTTTCACCCACTTCTAATCATATCTGTAATGGCACGATCTAAAATTATCATGATCTGCATTTTTTCTTGTTATCTTGTGTGCATTAGCTGGTCGTCGGCAAGCAAGAAATCGAGATTACCCAGCCCGGATTGTTTCACAAACACGTACTGCACACGGGCAACCTGCCTGGAGTGGGAGTCGGCCTCTGCCCGAACCCAAGTTCCCGGAAAGGTTCTGTAAAAAATTTTCATTTACCATTTCTTACCTATTTTGTACTTCATTGAATTGCTTTTACAAAGCTTTTACAAACGAATTTCCTTAATGCCGCCTGCAAGATGCCTGCTGTTATTTCAGTAGCCCTTTTTTTTAAAAGAATGCGTCGAATTGGAGTGATGCTGCAATTCTCTGCCATAGTATGTTTTTGATGATGCATCCACAGCTGTAAAGAGAAGCCTGTTCTCGAGAAGGTGTAGCACTTTTGACTGGGTTGGTTCACTGTGTGATAGTAGCTCAGAAAATGCTGTGCCGACAGCTTCAAGATTCGTAATTCTTCACTGCTTGCGACACACTCGTGATTTGAATTGGAGCTCCACCCACGCAGCCGACATTGCAAGTTTGCACACATGAGCCAAGATGCCCACATCCACGCACAAGCTTACGCCAACATTATTTTGATGCATGTTCACATGTTCTCCTCAATTTCTGGCCATCACCTGAATTTCTGTGAATTGTGCTCAAGTAGATTAAAATGCATAAAGGCATTTTCATTACACTGTCGTGTGCATGCATAATCCATGTTGCTGTGCATGCATAATCCATGTTGCCACATCAGTTTGTTTGCAATCACAGCCGATCGTTTTGCTCTCTTTTTCTTGCCCATTCTCTGTATGTAGTACTGCATCAATCTCTCTCCAAACAGTTTCCTGCTTTGGAATTTCGTATGTAGGAATTTTAACTTCGGCCTGCTGATTTACCTATCAAAAATTCAAAATCAAAGTGTTTTCTTTGTTCGTTATGGTGCCAACGCAAGCATAAGTTGTGATAGAACAACTGTGCCGTCTCCGGTTCATCCAATGTGTATTCTATGCTATGACTAGCTGAATTGATTGGCTTAGCCAAGCTGTGTGGGCAAGGTACTGTTTTGCTGCACAATTTTAATTTCCTTTAATAATTTGTTTCTACATTTTCATTATTATTAGTGTTCATTGGCTGCAGCTTGTATAAAATGTCTCTTCGATCACTCGGACATTGCGTGCAGTTCCAATATTGGCCCAGCCTCTTTTTTGCTTTAGTCTGAAAACCCGCAACTCCTTTTTTAAAATTCGAAAATAACTACAATGTACTAAATAAAATGTTTTCCTTTTTTCTCTATTTGTCAAATCACTTCTTGCTCTCTGTTCTTCTACGACGTGTGAAGTCTTCAGTGTGCTGGGTTCATTGACAAACAAACAAGTCCCCATAATGTTCTGAGTGGCCCAGATTTGGTAGCCTGGTGCATAGTATCACCAAGAGTCCTGATATTAACCCTATGATGGTCCATAGGTCGAATTCGGCCTATATTTGACAAGGCGTATCGAAACGCTGATTTCAGATGGAAAACCCGGTCACGGTCGAAGTACTTGGTTCAAACTTTGCAGCCGGGTTGCGTCAGATCCCTCGCATATACTGGCACACACAGAGACATAGACAGCAATCACGGCAACCCACAAATAAGGTAGCTGGCCGCAGCCAGATGTGAAACTGACTGAAGAAGTCAGGAAAGAAACGATGATAAAGAACACGCCAGATGCTACATGTATATTTGCAACCGAGAATGTTGCGCGAGAAATAAGTTCTCCCCGATCTCGCTTTGCTCGGGCTCTTTTTTTTGTAGTATGGCTAGCACCTGATGGTAATAATAATTATTATATTCCTGTGTTGTTTCATTTTACTGGTCAGTAACATTATCGCACTGAAGAAGGTCACAAGAAAACGTTCTCAATTCTTCCTTACTACGTTGCTTTCTTTAAAAAAAGGTATTTTAACAGATTTACATTCTGTACATGTAAGTGTGTCCTTTTTTGTAGTGTCTCCTCAAAACAAGTACAATGTTACTTGTATAGTAACACCTGGTTTAAGCGACCACCCCATGGTGCAAGAAAAGCGGTCGTTAAAGCCAGGTGGTCTTTAGAACCAGGTCCCACAGTGTCTGTGTAGAACTGTCTGTGCATGGAAAACGGTCGTTAAGAGCAGGTGGTCGCTAAAACGAGAGGTCGCTTACACCAGGTTTTACTGTACTTGAAAGCACCTTACTTACCGGCAAGCTGGGCCGGTCGGGCAGTGCAGGTGCTCAGCTACACGTGACGTAACAGTAGCAGCATTGAATATGACCGTATGAGCTCACCTCACATACATGTACTTCCCATCCTCCAAGAAAGTAGCTTGGCGCCTATGAAATACTAATACACGGAGGTGAGTGGACGACTAACCTTGTCCAGGACAGTGGATATATACCGACTTCTCACCGAAAACAAGTTTACCGAACAACAAGTCATCGAAAAACGATTCACAAAAATAATACGTGTTCGTTCTACACCGGCAGACCAATTTAGAATCCTATAGGGTGCATCCCCATGATCACGCAACCGAAATAGTGATAGTGGGTTGTCAGCAACACTGGCTCACACTGTTATTCACAAATTCATTTCAGGAAAAAGTATTTCAACGTTTCGGTCATAAAATAGCCATCACCAGGAATAAAGTGGTCATACATGTAGGTACCGCTAGGATGGGTTTAAGAATGAGCAGCGGTGCGAGGAGATTATTGATTCACACGTGCATGTACTACATGTACTATGTCGACTCGGAGAGAAAAGAGGTTTTAAAACACTTTTTAAAGGTTTACCGCTACAGGTGCGCGCCAAAAGGCCCCCGGCGAAACATCACGAAAAACTGGTATAGCAATAACACGATACGCGTAGCCTCTAAGGTTCTAGCTCAGGAGTAGTGATGCCGGTCACGGACGGGCATTGCAAAGGACATCACACTTGCTAAAGAAGCTGCAAGCCAGCAAAGACTCTGCGCTGGCTGACGCAAGATACCAGTAGATAATGAAAATCAACAAATCAGTCAACCACGAGAAACGATTTCTTCTGATAAGAATTAAAATTCAAAAAGAGGACCAAAAGTTTACAAGTTATCCGTTTTGTCCAACACTAACTGTTATAAGCAGATTACAGTGTTGTCAAAAATGTGCAACAATTAGCACAAAACTGACTGATGAGATCATGACATTCAACGACACGTCTAGAACGCGCGAGTCAGTTTTGTGCTAATTGTTGCACATTTTTGACTCAACTGTATTCTGCTTATAACCATTAGTGTTGGAAAAACGGATAACTTGTAAACTTTTGGTCCTCTTTTTGAATTTTAATCCTTGTCTCTCCATCCGAGTTAAATCTGATAAGAATGTTGAAAAATGATTTCAAGTCGCATGGCATACACCGGGCCCTAAACTTGCCATAATTATCATCTTAGTCATTGGTTCATTCAAGCCCAACCATTGGTATGCAATAATTAGAAAGAGATACATACAAAATACACACCCAGTTACTTCAACCTATACCGGAGCAGATTTCTCTGTTATCCGTGAATTTAGAAACAAAATCGGTGACCCAAAACATCTAGTCGGGCACAGCTGGAAGAATTCCAGGTGTAAATGTTGCACACAAATTCCGGGTCTGAATAGTTTCCGATGCTTGCACAACATGCGAATACAATCATGTGTATGAACTGGGTCTAGCTGCACTGTACTGATCATGACTAGATATAGCTAGCTGACTGTACAGCATTGAATTGAGTCTACTAGTACTGTATGCGGTTGAGTGAGGAAATAAATAACCAATACTGACAAGGACCAAGGCCGGTGGCAGATATAATAAAATATATAATAAATAAAATAGCTTGATACGCGCATGCATCCATACATTGTCATTGTCACACTGTCTTGTGAAGCCGAACAGGACTAAGAACTTCAATATCGAGACTACGGGTGACGGAGCTTCTCCACGACGCAGGTGATCCAGAGTGGGAGCGTGTCTGTCAGCGTAACCATGGGTCTATCCAGCACGGCGTAATGAAGCAATCTGGAGAAGCACACAGGGCAAGACAGGAAAAAACAATCGTTCAACCTTTACGGAGACGTAATTGATAATTGATACAGTTTTAGACCGCAATTCAATAACACCACCGCAGGCAAGCTGCTTCGTAGCACATTACAAATGTATGCACATGAATTCTGGGCATGCATATTTGCAGCTCATTTCATGTACATGATAGTACTTCAGTGGTCACCAACAGAAATCACTTTGGAAGGCAGTATGAAAAGATAGTTTAAAATATTGGCACTAACAACCGCAACAGGTTACCAAAGTGATTTTTCGGAGTTTTCCTCAAAAGCTGCCCGTGTGTGGTTTTACATGTGGCACTGGAGCCACGAGACGTAGTACAAACTGAAGAGGTACACCACCACACCACCATTGCCAACACCGCATCTACAACTAGCAGAGTGGAAACATGAGATACACTGGTGCTGTTCTTTATCTTTCCCTTGGACAAGGAGCACAGCACTAGTGTGGGCATGTAGCGTATATCCGGAGTAAAAGCCGCACTTCAAACACTCGCAATTCTACCAAAAATATCTCAGTGCTGCTTATACTACGATGGTGAAATGAACTGTGAAACACAGGTAGATGTCGGTATTTGTGACAAAACTCTGGGCGCGGCTTATACTACAGTGTGGAGTATACTCTGGAAAATACAAATAGAAATTTTCATTTAGAATGCACTCTAACCGTCGTGAACATGCACCATAGCCACTCATGCTACAGTACTGTTGGATGGCAAAGAAATGGGGATCGGCCTCTTAGCCGTGGCCGTTCATATTTGTTATGTACAGTAGTCTAGGCGCAGTGCAGTCATCACGTATGTGTTCCGCGCAATCTGAGAATTCCCAGATTGCGAAGATTGCGCGCGCAATCTGCGGTGACACAATAACTATTCGTGGCACGAGACCAGGCAGGGTAAATCAGCGAGCCTGAGCTTCCGCGAGACTTCTGGGAGCACAAGCGGTACCCAAGTACGCGTGGTGAAAAATTCATGTGCGCCGTTCGTGTTCACGGGCATGCTTTCATGCCTTCTCATTGCCCTTGCTATCTCATCACGCACCAATACCTTCTCAATCAATGCTCCATGGATAATACAAAACAGCACCAAACTTCGCATTCCAATTTTATCCTCCACTGATCCTGCTTGCTTCCACCCTGTCTTGATGTGCCGTGGAAATAGATTTTCAGCCATTTCGCATAAACAAGCCATGTTCCAGGCTTGTGAGGCCATGGCTCCCAGCAAAGTGACCCGTATACAAGCCATCAAATCTGTTGTGTTCAGACCTTCCATTCACTTTGAAATTGTAAGAATAGTTTGAAACGTTTTGAAGATACCTCAGAAGCTGCGATAATTTGAAACTTTCCAACGCTTCACACTGCGCTCTTGGCCCACATTCACCACACCATAGCAAGGAAGTTCGTTCTTGGATAGATGTTCCATATCCTACAGACAGCTGTTTTGATCATTAAGAGCTACTCAGTGAAGGTAGACAACGAATGGATAGCAGATAGAGGAATAGGCATTTTGATGAGCGCAGTGTAGAGAGGTGGAAAGTTTCGCTTTGAAGATGATGCCGAAACAAACGCAATCACTTCAAAGTTTTTTTCCGACTTTCGATCGCTTATCGCCTTGGTGTTAATGAGTGACCATGGTTACCGTTCAGAAACATGTTCCCACCATACAGCCTGCCTTTCAGTGAGTCCAAGCCAAGTTCTCAAGCGCATTCTTTCAGCTCAAGCGCAGTCTTCGAGTTATTCAACCCTTTTTCACATCCCTCGCAATAGCAACGCGCACACATCCCGAAAGCTGGTACCCGCATGTTTATCTCAATGCAAACACTTGAACTTGCTCTTTGTATGTAGACAGACACTCAAAAACAGATTGAAACTTGTACTTGTTTACACCACTTCGTCTCGGTATAAAGCAGAGTAGCCGACTGGGAGAATTTTTTGACCTGTTCATAATCGCAATGCTTTTGCAGCAAGACACCAACAAGACACCAAAGCAAGACACCAAACAACCAGTGATACTCACCTTAATCTTCCTCTGGCATGGACTTAGCAAGGCGGAGCAAATCCCATCAAAGCCCAGGACTCTTCATGGTTCACACCTTTGTTGATACGACTGCCGTCGGCTTCGTGCTTGTGCTTGCAACACATTTGGAGATCTCCGTTTGCGGTCATAGTAGATGTTGCTGCGGTCGGGTCCTGGCAACTTGGAAAGTGTGGCACACGTCTTGTCGCCTATACCATGTCATCATGGCCGACATGTGTCTTAAACCACACCTCGCGCCGCGTGGTCAGAAGGGTTCCAGTCATGATTGCAGTCATGTGGTTGACTATCATCATGAATTGGCAAACTGCAGGGGTGCAGGGCGGCACTCTGCATAGAGCGCATAGCTTCCTGCAGGCATTAGTTCAACCTGACATGTTCATTTCACTCGCTGCTTGCAGTGCTTCCCCGCTTAGGCTCATTCCAGACACGTTTTGCTGGTACACGCTGGCTGTCTTTTGTACGCTGTGCTTCAAGCACATTCCCATGGCACCATATGCACTGTTGAAAAGCCAGGGCACCCTGCAGAGATTCTGACAGTTCTCCAAGAAATATCCTTGGTGTTCCCTGCTGAGGTTAGGCGGAGTATCATAAATACTGTGGAGCACACCTAGGTTGCAGAATGCCTGTAGCTGTCCATCATCGTATATCTCATTGTACAGGTTGAACACCAGTGGATGAGCAGATGCGACTAAGCTCAATGCAGGATCGGGGAAGTGCAGCTCCTACCAGAACTCTTGACTATTCTTTTGACTACCAGTAGCGGCGTGGTATGGAATGCCTGCCTCAGTGAATGGCTCTTACTCGTAGAGAATGATGCGGCTTGGTGCACTCACATTGGTTGATTCCATGTGCTTGGTGACCAGCTTGATGCTTGCATTGTCCTTTGCACTGTTCTCCGTTGTCTCTCTTGTCACATCGGTGTAGGCACTGGTGTTCACACTGAAAGTAATGCGCGGGCTTCAAACCTGCCCTACCAAGTGTATTCTCGAATTCAATGTGACCCACCTTGTCCTTGTATACAAGAATGTTTACCGATGGATGGTATAGCTCCAAATAGCACTTGGACGCCTCAGCTTTGTCAACTGCATTCACATCTAGCTGATGGTTACACTGAGCACCGCACCTGGAGAAGTCTTCACCCATGTCTGCTCTTGAGACATACGGATCTTGAAATCCATTCTTTTCCCAGAAGACGCGATGTGATGTCAAGTCGTACGTGGTGACTTGGCTAGTAGTCCACTTATGCTTGTGGAAAGGCTGGGGCTGTGAGACAACAAATTGTGTCGTGCAGCTGCACTCCACCTGGTGTGAGTGTGACGGACCGGCAGCATTGCAAATCTCACTACAGGTTTGTTGTTGACCTGGGTCTGGCAGTTTTACTCTGTTGCCATCCTGCTTGGTAATAACTGTCTTCTCGGTATTCATCACAAAGCCATGGTCTGTTTCGCAGGGATCTGAGTGAGCGTATCGCAATCTGCAGTAGCGCTCACACAGGGGGCAGAACTTCTCACAGGTGTGCTCTCTACCGCAGCTGTGAGACTTTTGTCGCTTTCGATGATCGGACTGGCCCACAGGATATGCCACACTGCACTTCAAGCTGTAGGCATTGCTGTTCTGACGTATAAGTCGGCTTCCGACTGGAGCAGGGCTGTCAGTTGATGCAAGAAAGCAAACACCGGGATGAGAGCTGTCACAAAACTCTCCACAATCATGTTCTTCGAAACAATGATGCTGTGGAAAACCTTCAAAGTGTCTGGGGTCACCAGTTCCTGGGCAATCGGCCTTACACCGAGGGGAGCAGTTATGCTGAATCTGCTTCTTGCATCCACGATTGCAAAGACTTCCTGCATTGCGAATTGAGCAGCTCTGGGTGCACTTATGCTGATCCTTCTCAAAGAAATGAAAGACGGTGGTCCGCTGTAGCTTATCATGTACGCCCATGACATAGCCTGTCCTTTGCATACGGTATGATGCATGCCACATCTCTCCAGCACAGTGAGGTCTGTCCTCTTTACCATGCCCTTTAGTGCATTGCACATGGCAGGACTGGAAGAAAGAAACTTCCTTGTCAGAGTAGGGATCTTTGTATGATATTGATTGCCAGAATGTGGCGTGAGACGCAACATGCAGACGCTGCCTTTGCCCCTGGTAATGCTGTATTCGACCGGGGTCCACTGTGCAACGTGCCATGTTTTCGCACTTTCCAAGCACATGAAAATGACCAGCACCAGCAGTATTGCAAGCAGTAGCACAGGTCGTCCGTTGCGAGGTTGGAACTGGCCGCGTGTCGCCGTAGAATATCTGCAACCCCCTTCCGCTTGTGAAGGGTTTATGGTTTGCCTCATGCACAAGCGTTGTGTGATTGACTTGAAGAAAACATGGCGCTGCACAATGAGGGCATGTGTCCATACACAGATGGATACCTTTGCAAGAGTGAGATCCTGTATGACTGCGATCTCCACGTTTCAGCGGAATGTTGCACGTGAGCTTCTTCGAGATACCTGCCTGCCCTGCATGTTCTGCCTGTGGAACACTTTGTCCATCAACGGCTTCTACTGGCTGCTTCTGCTGCTCACAACGACCATCATCTTGACATGGTGCAGCACAAGTATGCTCCTGTTCACAGTCATGCAGATCGCCTTCATGCTGATGATGAAGATTGCATTGATTTCTGCACTCTTGGATGTTACATACCGCATGGCACTTTGTGTCGTCGCAGTAGCATATGTGATCAATTTTCTCAGATGACTCGTTGCATTGCTTGGTGCAATTGATTGTCTCATCTCGTGAGGTCTTCTTGATGCTGCACGTGTCGCCACATCGATGGAACTTTCCACATGAACACGTGCCGTCGTGAGAGATCACTTTCCGGCATTGCTCACTGCACTGCTCATTTCCAGCAGCACATTCACATCTTCCATGGCATGTGTGCTGCTTTCGGCAGAGAAAGTGATGACCAGGTAGTGTTCCTGACTGCTGGTAGTCTCTCTCAATACTGGTGTAGCCACCGGAGTTGTTTTTTGGACCAGTTAATCTGCCGTGTAGCACTGCTTCAGTGCAGTAGGTGAGTCCAGCAGAGTGGTCGTCATACTGAATGCCACTGCTTGAATCCTCACAGTCCACAGGTATGCAGTCGTGGCAGTATGCTGAGCATCGACCGAAGATATCTCGATCAGTATCACTGCTGCACGGGTCCTCAAAGTCGAAGTGAGACCAAAAGCGACTGTGATCGACTTCACCAGCATTCTTCCTCTGGACAGCACTGTCTCTGGTTGTCAATACGTGAATGTGTCCTCGTCCTTCAGAGATACAGAGCTGTTTGCAAGTTAGATCTGATCCAAGACTGCCTAGATCTCTCGTCTCCATCTGCCGAACCGCTGTAGCATTGACGACTTGTCCGTGTTCTCCGATGGAGTGCAGGCCGTCATGGTTTACTTCTTTGTCACAGCAACAGCTGCAAATAGGGCACACGACTCCGCATCTGTGAACCTTTCCACAGTGGTGAGTGACATCTGCAGTGTGATTAGTCAGGTTGGCTGGTATAACGATCATGCATTGAAGTCGATAGCCATCACGGCCAGCTTCAAGCTTCCATGCACCTCCATCAAGGGGCTCTCGGCTGATTTCGCATATACCACCTGCGTCGTCACAAAGAGCTACGCATTTGTGCTCTTTGCCACAGAGATGAGTGTGGTCAGCAATGATTGGTGATGCGCATGAAGGATGAACAAATCCGCTTTCAGTGCTAGGACTGATCGGGTGGGAGCTGAGAAGGCATTGTGAACTACAGAGATGCTCCTCAGTTGGTAGAGTACAGCGGTGCATATTAGGGTGATCGATGAATAGAACACACTCCTTGTGACACGTCCTTGATGATGCTAGATCACATTGCAATCGGCACATGTGCCTGCCGGGCTCTTCGTATGCCTCACAAAGGTGTTGATAACCATAAGCAACCTCTTCAAAGTCCTCGTGTCCAGCTTTCTCACCGCACAGCTGCTGACATCTGTGCCGTTGTTCAGCATTGTGAACTGGACCCTGGCAAATATGTTTACATCCGTGGCTAGGGCTAAGACAATCACAATCCGAAGACTTGTCATGACCTCTTAACTTCAAGCAGCGGAAGAAGCAATGGTGGCAATTTTTCGGACTTCAATCCCCACACAGCACCCAGCTCAATCGGAAGATATCGATGGTATCTTCAAAGAACGATTTGTCAATGAATGAACAGTCTTCAATCTCCAAATAGTTTGTCACTAGCTGCTTTGCGTGTTTACATCTTCGAGCCACGATGTCTTTTAAGCACCATTGCACAGCAGCTACAAGATTCAAACGCTTGTTAATAGTGGAGTCTACACCAAACACTCGCTGCAAGCCATCTTTGATCTGTGAGACAACCTTCGTTGCAGTATCCTCATCTGCAGACAGGTGTAATGCTGGGAGAAGAAGTTCTTTCTTTACCCTTTCGTGTGTATATGACAAGTTCTCTGTGTCAATCATTACACTGGGATCGTCATCTACTCCAGTCTCGCAGAACTTGGCCAGCTTGACACGAAGTTGTGATATATGGAAAATATCCATCTCGTGCAAGCCTTGAAAGCTATGAAAGCTGGTAGTGGCCAGGGCTAGGAGGAGGTTTTGACAAGCCAGAAACGACCCTCCATCCGCAAACAACTTGATGGGATTTCGAGGATTTCTCAGTATGGAGTATGCTGTACCAGCCAAGATGTCACCATGAACGCGTGAGTCCGAGAGCCTCCTGTCGCAATCTTGCACAGAGGATGGACATGACATAGTGCTGAGATCATAGGTAGTTGTAGACACTGTTGAGAACATGGATCTTATTGCAGATCCAATTGCAGTCGGCTTTGAATTAACTGTGACAGCCGTAGATAGGCATTCAAGCTGAACCCGATTGCTGGAGAGAATAGCCAGATGACTCTGGAAGAGGCTTTTGTCCACATACAACCGGTCGAGGCCATTGCATAGATCATTGCCTTTGAAGGGCAGTTTATCTGACAGCCCAGATATTTCCTTTCCAAACGCAACCAAAGAATCTTGACTTTGACCGACGTCTAACAGGAAGAGGCGGCTGAGTGCAATAGCTGAAAGCAATAGATCCCTTTGGCCCGGCTCCAGTCCATGTTTTGCAATGGAGTCCATTGTAATGCCTGTGAACGCTAGCAATACAAATAGACGGCTGGGAGTAAACCGAGTGCAGGCCAACAAGCAGCTCACAGGATGCCCATTGCTACCATCAGCATTTCCGCTGCCGCTGGTGGTGTTGCAGCCGCTGCTTCTGGTGTTGCTGCTGCTGCTGGTTTCGCTGCTGCTGGTGGTATTGCTGCTGCTGCTGGTGGGATTGCTGCTGCTGCTGCTGCTGGTGGTGGTATTGCTGCTGCTGCTGCTGGTGTTGCTGCTGGTGGTGTTGCTGCTGGTGGTATTGTTGCTGCTGCTGGTGGTATTGCTGCTGGTGTTTCCGTGGGAGAAGGAGCCACTACTAGAGAATGAAGCACCAGCCAGGGTGTTGAGGCAGTGAAATGCTGCTTCTTCAGTCTGGGACAGACAAGTAACAACCGTCACCGGATGTGGCCACTTGCGCAGGCTCTCTAGCGGGTTAACGCTGTCAATGCGATGGTAACAGTTCCCTACTTCCGAACTCAGCTGGTCACAGATCTGCTCAGCTACACACGGAAAGGCAGTGCAGGCCAGTAGGGAATCAGCGTGCCGGGACTTTCCCAGGCCATGAGCTGAAGTGCTCTTCTCGGCTGGCTTGTTGAGTGAAGCAAGGAGAGTGATCGGTGATGGTACAGTCATGTCATGTAGCCAGAGGTGCGTGGGACTCTGCACAGGCCGGCACAAGTGAGACGGATGGCACAATGACATGTCCTGTGATGAGACTGACACCACTGGAAGTCGCACTCTGACGCTGTCCTTGTGACTTGTGTCACTGGACTCACCACCGCCTTGATCCAATGTAGACTCCAGAAAGAATTCTCTGGAAACAAGTTCAGCCAGTCGTCTATCATCCAATTCAGTCGGTCCCTCATCGAGCATAGAAGGCCAGACATGAAGGAGTGGCACACCAGGATAACGATAAAGTGGATAAATTGGGTACTCTCGGTACACAGATCGGAGTGATTTAGCAGTAGCCTGCTGCACAGTTGGTTGCTGGTTAGGCTCGGTAGCAATTTTGAACTCGCCGCCTTCGATTACAACCGAGAAAGTTGTGGATGATGACTCGGCTTCGCTGAACTCGCCCACTTCTATATTCCGATACAGGAGGTGCAGCGATTGGCTGCCATGGGTTGCCTTGTGAAGGAGCTGCTGGTGAATGGTTTCGTCATCCGAGTCATGAAGCTCGACGATAAGGTAACACTGGCAGAGGTTCATGTCATGCCGGTTAATGATCATGCGTATGGTACTACCGTCATTGCTGTTTGTCGGCCATAGCGCTGCATACTGATCTGGAGTTAAACTAGAAGCGAAGTGATGACAACAATACGATTCGGTTGCGTCACGGGCGCCGATCAAGGCCACAGTTTCCAGCCGAATGTCACAGCTTTGAGTTGAATAAGCTGGCTTTTCAAGCGCAGAGAGGTCACGGTCCATGACATTCGTCTGCAGGACCGACGATAAGCTGGGCTGATTGGCTGGTTTTGGCGGCAATACCGTATTAGCTGCGCCATGATTCAATGTGTAGTCCTGTAGTATTGTCGAAGCATCCGTGTGGTACTGGATAGACGGTCGTTCCTGCAAGTAGAGGTCACCGTTGCTGGATTGTAGCAATGACAGACCAGCTTCCTTGTGGCAAGAGAACAGTGGAATGACATGCCATGGGATCAGATCTGCAAAAACAGAAACACGACAAGGAAAAAAGAGATAGCAGGGAGTCAAAGATTGCAAGAAGATGACCATGGTAGTCAACACTATCAATGCACTAGACTAGTGTCTTCACAAGATCAGTGTGAGAGTAACAGTGGCGTGTGCTTGTGTCTGCCGTTACTGCTGTAAAACAGGTAATGTTTGCGACAAGAAAATGATGACATAATTGGGATACAGACTGGTCTGCGCTGTATAATATTTGTGATGCAATACATCACGATCTATTACTTCACCTTTTGTGGTGCCATCGTGCCAAGTTGAATGTTTGTGATATCGCAAAAATCACGAACATTCTTACATCGCAAAAATTTCTCTTTCTACACTATCTGGTCGTCATTATGCCCTGGAGGACAAGAAGCAGGAGTATAGTACTGGTATATTATTTGTGAACATCATGTGTACATGGGGCATGTGTGTGTGTGTGTGTGTGTGTGTGTGTGTGTGTGTGTGTGTGTGTGTGTGTGTGTTCGTATTGTGTGGAAATCTAGTCTTTGAGTCTTTCTTATCGCGAGGTGTTTCTGTTGTCTCTTTGCGAAAAGGTCTTTTATCAATTTTCGTTCTTCAACAGCTTTGATCGTGGAGATGGTATAAGAAGGTTTGAAGCAGGATCATTCTGCATACTACCAAATACCTTCTTTCTAGATGAGCATTTCTCTCACAAGGTATACTGTAAATTACTTTTTATGCTCCCCGTGTCGATTTCCCCTATGCTTAACAAAATGCAGTGACAATACAATACAATACAATACAATACAATACAATACAATACAATACAATACAATACAATACAATACAATACAATACAATACAATACAATACAATACCATGGTGAACCGATGTATGCACTGCTACATGCAAACATGACCGGGGAGGTGTCCCGTTGGATGGAACTCGGCACAACCCGCGCTTGATTGCTATGTACACCGTGCTACATTTTAAAGCCATTAGTCATTTCCATTCCAGGTTGCAAAACCTACTGGGGAGGGACACAGCATGGGGAAGGGAGAGGGATCAACAGTACTTTACACAGAAAATTGGGCAAAATGTTGAGCTCAAAATTGTCTGTATTTGATGAATACTTACTGCTGCGGCGGAACTGCTGCAATGCGTCAGTGATCTTCTTAGCCAAGTTGCGATTTCCTTGTTCAGAGATGAGTCTTATCACTTCTTCCACATTCACCTTTTTGTCAGAGAGTAACTCATTCAGCAGTAGTCGACGCTTGCTCTCCAGGCTTTTCCCGCTGTTGCGTATGATATCTGCAACCCGGGCACGTGTTAATCCTGAGCTGAACTGATAGGCTGTGCACAATTGCTTGAGATCCACTTCAAGAAGCTGCTCGTGAAACTCGTACAGGACCTGCATGCAAACACCACACAAATGGAATGAATGCTGCTGCTCGTATTTCCACAATGAACAGTACGCTCATACCTCGGGTATCAGGAGCCAGAAGTCACGGGCACTTCGGTCTACTGGACATCCTTCGGCCAAATTGCAGTGGAAATATTACTACTATTTTGCCACTTTTTGTGGAAATAGTGACGTCACATGCCATATCTATGGCCTTTCCCAATCAAAATGTATTATTCGGAGTTACGGACATTTCGAAGTTACGGACTGTGACCGGTCCCGGACCGCCCGTAGAAACGGGGCTTGAGTGTATGAGAAACACAAACAAGAGTACCGTATTTCCGGATTATAAGTGCTGCTTATACTCCGGAAAATACGGTAGATGTGATGATGTCATTTTCATCACATCTATCACCTATGTTACGGAGGTAGCCTAAATCGATGTATTATTCGTTCTCGTTCTACTTCTTTGAATGTTACTGAACAGTTTTACTCTCCACGCTCTGCTACATCATTACCTGTACGCGCCACGTCTAGCGCCTTGTTTCTACGCTAACACTTAGCACCTTATTCGTCATCACGCGCTCTTCTTATCTACATGTATGTGCTAAGTGTTGGTGTAGAGGCAAGGTGTTAGATGTGGCCGCCGCTCTTGCTGATTGGAAGCTGCGTTGCTTTGCTGCTATATAGTTCATTGGATCGAAGGCGTAGTTGCGTTTTTCCAGAGTTCTGCTTGTGATGGTATTCTTCTGAATGGTCATCGAAGTAAATCTGAGTATGGTTCAAGACAGTTAGCTGCCTTCCGAGAGTATCTCTGGGTTTATGGGCCACATTATTTGGTAGCAGAGGACGGTTTTGAATGTCAACCATGGCGGAAACAAAGAGTTCTTTGTCAGTGGCAAGTGACGAGAGTGTGCAAGGAACGGACCAAGTCGGGGCGGACGTAGGTTTGGCGGACGAACAGCAGGTCCCCGTAGTGGCAGTTCAAGCAGCATTCAGCAGTCAGAGGGCACGGTGAAAGATTTTGGAGTTTCCGATGTTGATGACGAAGAACACGAATATGATGATGAAGAACCGGCGTTCAGCGAAGAATGCCTGAGAACGATGAAGATCGATGCCAAGGCCAATTTCGCCAACATTCGAAGACTTTTGCTGAATCGGATAGTGAACGGAGAGGGGATTGGTGATGACGAGCTTGGAGATCTGAAACACGCGTACTCTGGTGCAGCAGGCGTCGTGGGCGATCTCCTGGGACTGTGCTCTGGAGATGGAGACTTGTCGAACGGAGGAAGCTGGTTGCGGAGCTGGAAGAGGTTGAGGAGAAGTACAGCGCAGCTGTGAACAGAGCCATGAATAGCGTTAGTGTTGGTGGGCGGTTTGGAGCTGGTCATGACTTGGGATACAGCCGGTACTCGGCGGCGGGGTACTCAGCTCCATTGATGACGCCAGATCACTTGACGGAGGTGGGTGATCAGGGCATTGATACGAAGCGGCCTGTCTTTGGCCAGTTTGGGGCCAGGTCAATGCTGTACTCTGGGTCTGCTGGCTCTGGGCTGGTGGAATCTGGCAAGGAGATTTCTCCTAGTAGCCTTAGTGCCTTGGCCTTTCATGAGAGTCAAGGTGTCACAAGTCCACTCCTGGTTCCAACACCGCTATCTACTGCCAGTACTAGTAAAGTAGCCTCAGGTGCAGTGCAGCACTTTGAACTGATGAGACAAGCCTGCTCAGACTCCAGTGGCCAGGCATCAGTAACCTCTAGTGCTGATCAGACCAGCAATGGCAGTGCATCAGCGCCAGTGACCGGTTCCAGTGGTAGCAGTGTGCCAGTGGCCAGTGCTGATGCTAGTACTGCCAGTAGTACTATGCTAGGCACAGTCAGTCAGCCAACCAAGAGGAGCAGCGTCGGCAACACCACACAGGGAACGGCCCAGCTGACCAAGAAGTCTGTTCAGTTTAGTCAGAGCCATCAGTCCACTGCCAGCACTCAGTCCAGATTGAGACCAGCAGCGAGTGTGTTCTTACCCCCTAGAACGGTCCCTGCAGCTGGGGGTGCAGCTGGAGGTGCATCAACGGTCAACACCGCTGTGACAGTCCCCAACACACCCACGGCTACCCAACCGACTGGGTCCTCGAGCAGCAATGTGTATCAACCTCCACTGACGGGTGGACGACCACTAGCAGCCGACACCGGGCCATGGGCGAGCATGAAGAAGTTCACAATACCCACATTCGATGGCGATAAACGGCGCTTCGAGTCATGGTGGGCAGCGTTTTCCACCTGTGTGGACAAGGCACCGCTATCCGCGGAATGCAAGATGCTTCGACTGAGACAGTATGTCCAGGGTGAGCCGTTGAAAGCCATCAACCGACTCGGGTACACCATCGCCGCGTATGATGTAGCCAAGGCCCTGCTGCACCGAAAGTATGGCGGAAGGAGGCGCCGAGTTGCCATCCATCTGGAGGAAATTGAGGCCCTCAAAACCGTGCGAAAGGAGCACCCGAAAGACCTGGAGCGGTTCTCGGAACTGCTGGCCGTCGCCGTCATCAACTTGAAGGACTCAGGCCGAGCTACTGAGTTGGCGGCCGGAACCTTCTACCGGACTCTACTCAAGAAGCTGGACGAGCAGCTGATCACCCGTTACCACAGGTGGCGGCATGAACAAGCTAAGGCTGAGTCGGTAGAGGAGCTGCTTGAGTACTGTACCCTAGAGGCTGAGTTCATGGTCTCCGCTGCGGAGAACAATCTGGCTTGAGTCCCGTGAGCAAGGCAGAGCCGCCACAGCCAACTTGTGACAAAGGTCCACCGGTCACCTCGACGAAGCACGTTCGTGACCAGCAGCCAGCCGGCAGCCAACTCACAAAAGTGCATCGTGTGCCAAGGTGAACACAAGCTGTGGCAGTGCCTATCCTTCAAAGCTGCGACAGTGCACAATCGACGGCGCATTGCCAAGAATTCAGGTGTGTGTTTCCGCTGCCTGGATGTTGGCCACAGTGGATGCGACTGCACGAGGAGTCGGCTATGTGGTTTGGACGGGTGCACGAAGCTCCACCACCGCTTTCTGCACGGCACACAGAGCAGAGGCCCTGTGTCTAGCAGTGCGGCACCCCCGTCCACACAGACACCAGCAGCGCACTCTGTCTTAGGGCGTCGGGCAGGACGCGCTCCGCCAAACACAGCTAGCATCCAACAGTCGTCCAGCCAAACAGAGCAGCAGACATTCTGCTCCGTCGTCACGGAGGGTTCTCAGTCCACGGAAGAGGAGTGCTACGCCTCCCAGAGCATCGACGTGTCCATCAGCCTGAGGACGATACCGGTTACCATCAACCATGGAGACACAAGCATTCACGTCAATGCGCTGTTGGAGGATGGCAGCACCATGAGCTACATCAGTGAGGTCGTAGCACACGAACTCGGTCTGCACGGGGAGTTGCAGAGAATCACGGTCAACACGTTGGACGGAACACCGAGTACATTTCAGTCGGTGCACGTGTCGTGCAGCGTAGCAAGTGTCAACAGCTTGTTCAGCACAGACCTCCATGCTTGGACAGTGCGCCACCCAACAGGACGCCTGAATCCAGTCAACTGGCGGCACGGCGCATCGACGTGGCCACATCTCAAAGGGATCCGTTTCCCTCCCACCGCCAAGCCTGATCGGGTCGACGTTCTGCTTGGCCTGGACTGTGTCGCAGCGCACCAGTCCTTGCACGAGGACTGGCTCACCCCGCTAGGATGGACCTGTGTAGGGCCGGTACAGGCGAGCCCAGGCAGTTCGCGATGGGGCATGCGTACCATGTGCAGCTGCAGCTCGGCGGCAATGAGATCAGTCAGCTGCTGCGTCGCTTCTGGGACGTCGAGGAGCTAGCCGTACCCGACTTGCCACACTTGTCACCGGCGGAGGAGAAACTGCTCACACAGACACGGGAATTCCTGGCGTTCAGCGACGGTTGGTATCATGTGGGCCTTCCGTGGAAGACAACACCACCGGTCCTGCCTGGCAACTTCGCCATGGCACGCAAACGACTGATTGGCACCGAGCGGAAGCTGCTGCTAACGAACGGTCTGGGTACCCAGTACAGCGCCACCATCCAAGAGTACTTGGCGAAGGGCTATATCCGCCGGGTGACGAAGGAGGAGCCACGACCACACAGCATCCGGTACCTGCCTCACTTTCCGGTGGTCCGTCTGGACAAGCAGACAACGAAAGTGAGGATTGTGTTCGATGGATCGGCGCAGTTCCAAGGCGTCGGAGTGAACGACTTCCTCAACAAGGGGCCGTAGCTGCAACGGGACATCTGCGACGTGCTCCTGCGGTTCCGCAAGCATCATGTTGCCATTGCCTGTGACATCAAGCAGATGTACCTGCAGATTGGTGTGTACAAATCCGACCGGCAATACCAGCGATTCCTATGGCGCAACTGTGATGCCGATGCGCAGCCTGCAGTGTATGAGTTCCAGCGTGTGGTATTCGGACTCGCCTCATCACCATTTCTCGCTCAGTTCGTCTCCCAGGAGCATGCGAGGGTGCTCACAAGTACGGATGAACGTGCGGCTCAGGCAATCAACAAGTCCACATACATGGACGACACGCTTGATTCCGTGCCAACCGTCGCTAATGGCATCGCACTCTACAAGTCTCTTGTGAAGGTGTGGGAGTCGGCCGGCATGCACCCGACGAAGTGGCTCTCAAACTCGACCGAGCTTCTGGCAGTGATACCCGAGTCAGAACATGGACCCTCCATCGACCTGTCACCAGGGGAGCTGCCAAGAGTGAAGATGCTAGGCATCTTGTGGTCAGCTGCCAGCGACGCTTTCAGTTTTGCCATCCCACTGGATTCGGGCCAGGAGTTCAGCAAGCGGAGCGTGCTGCAACGGGTAGCATCTGTCTTTGACCCGCTGGGTCTGCTGGCGCCGTACATCATCCGAGGCAAGATGCTCATCCAGGAACTGTGGTTGCGAGGCACGACCTGGGACGACCCACTGGAGCCCTCTGTGGACAAGCTGGCGAAGGAGTGGATTGCTGATGCTCGGGATCTGCAGACGCTACGCATTCCAAGACCACTCATGGCAGCTGACGGTGTGTCGTCGCTGCACGTATTCGCAGATGCCTCCGAGAAGGCAATGGGTGCTGTCGCCTACATCATTTCCAAGGACCTCAGTGGAGCTACGTGCCGGCTGGTTGCAGCTAAGTCTAAAGTCGTCCCGCTGGAAGCGGTGAGCATCCCACAACTAGAGCTGATAGCCGCCGTCATGGCAGCCCGTTTGACAGCCGTCGTCAGCCGTGCTCTCGAGATGCAGGATGTCTATCTATGGTCTGACAGCACGAACGTCCTTTGGTGGATCCATGGTCACAGTCGGCAGTTCAAGACATTCGTGGCCAACCGCGTCTCCGAGATTCGTCGTCTCACACAACCAGAGCAATGGCGGCATGTGACCACTGACCAGAACCCCGCTGATCTGGTCTCTCGTGGGTGTACTTCAGCAGTGCTGACATCATCGGACCTATGGTGGACTGGGCCGGCATTCCTGTCTACCGATGAGCCATGGCCTGCCAGCCCTACGCTTCAGCCCAACTCCGGCGCTCGGCAGGAGGTCAAGGTTTGCCACGCAACCGCTCGCGGGACATGCAAACGTATCATGCAGACGTCCAACGATGCACCACCCAAGCAGGATTGGATCATTGACCCAGTGTCTGCTCCAGCGCCGGGTGAGCCGGGTAATCCACCCGGTTGGGCGGCGCTTGGACCCGGTTGAAAATATAGTACCGGGTCACCTGTGACCCGGTTGGTACTTTACACTTTCGAACTTTGAAAGGACTGACTACATGGCTTGTATGTGTCAGCTACTTCTTCTTCTTTCGTAATTTTCTAATTCCTGTCCTCTCTTTTCTAAATGAGGCTTATCCATTCGCCTTTATATCATTGACATTGGGCATAGTTTCCGTTTATTTTCCGAATTAAAATAAACCAACCAACCAAGTAAGTCATGATTAGTTTGCCCGTCGTGTGAATGGCCTATGGCATGTGACTCGGCTGGTGAGACAGCGCCAGGTACATTGTGTACCCGGCTCCGACCCGGTTGAAATGGTTGCGCCAGGTACACGGGTACCCGGCTGTCCTACAATCCTAGAGCAGACACTGTGACCCTGCAAAGTGGCTAGACTGGCAGAAGACAACCTGTACACTCACATGGGTCCGGCGCTTCATCTCGAACTGCCGTGCAGCGGCAGAGGATCGCCTGGCAGGAGAGCTCACCCCGATTGAGTTGGCTGACGCAGAGCTGTACGTCGTTCGGAACACGCAGCGTGTTGCGTTCGCTGCTGAGATAGTCCTCCTGAGGAAACGCAAAGCAGTACATGCTACCAGTAAGCTGGCCAAGCTATGTCCATTTCTTGACGACGACGGTGTTCTACGCTGTGAAGGTCGCTTGCAGTATGCGGAGTTCCTGCCACGAGACGCTGTCCATCCGATCATCTTGCCGTGGAAGCATGCCGTGACCAAGATGCTCATCAGGTTCCAACACGAAAAGGACAGGCACGCTGCGGGACGAACGCAACATTGTCTGCGCTGGCCGCCCGCTATTGGGTCATCGCCGCACGGGAGACCGCCCACGAGTGGGAACAGGAGTGCGCAGTCTGTCGCCGGTACCGGAGCAAGCCAGCTGGGTAGCGAATGGCACCGCTGCCGGTCAGTTGGGTCGTGCCCTCTTACCGTGCGTTCAGCCGCGTCGGCGTCGACTACGCCGGCCCCTTCCTCACCATGCAGGGACGCGGTCGGGCCAGAACCAAACACTATCTGTGTGTATTCAGTTGTCTGGAGACGCGCGCTGTACACCTGGAGCTCGCATTCTCACTCGACACATCTAGTTTCATCAACTGCTTCTTCCGGTTCGTGAGCCGGCGCGGCCTTCCCGATCAAGTCACATCGGACAATGGCACAAACTTTGTTGGTGCAGTTCGGGAGCTGAAGGACCTCATTCACAACATCGACCAAGCCAAAGTCCAGATGGGCACCGCACATCATGGTGTGTCCTGGTCATTCAACCCTCCAGCAGCACCTCATTTCGGTGGCGTGTTCGAGATTATGGTGAAGGCAGCCAAACGTGCTATTCACCACATTCTGTCTGGCAGTGACATCACCGACGAGGATCCGCTGACCGCCTTTGCCGGAGCAGAGGATCTGATCAACTCTCGCCCGATCACTGCCATATCAGTCAACCCCAACGACAACTTGCCCCTCACCCCGAATCATTTTCTGAACAGGACACTTGGAGAAGTCGTCCTACCGGAGTCAGATCATCCGCGTCAGCGATGACAACGCATTCAGGAGCTGCTTGCGCATGTCTGGCGTCGCTGGATCCAGGAGTGGTTGCATCAGCTCAGCAAGCGGGTCAAATGGACGGCAGACCAACGCAACGTGAAGGTTGGTGATGTCATGCTGTTGTCACCAGACACCGCTAGGCGTAAATGGCCCTTGGCTCGGATTCTGGAAGTCTACCCCGGGAAGGGTGAACGAGTACGTGTTGCCGAGGTGCAGGTGGGAGATCGTACTCTTGTGCGACCCATCAACCGCTTGTGCCCACTGGAGCATTCGCCAGAGTGATGGACTGATGTGGACACTCTAGCTTTTCTGCTGTCTGTCTTCTGCTAATCATTGCATGCCCTTTATCTTCTTCTTATTATTAGTCAGCGGTATTGCTATATCTTTACCCAGCTGCTTGGACCGCCGCTGCGGGGGACCTGCTGTCTAGCGACCTGGACTTGCTTTTCCATGTGCACGGTGTTGAGTTCTTAGTGGTGGAGCTAGTAAGGTACTGTTTATTTTGTTTTGTTTCGATCTGGTCACATTGTCTCATATCGAGGAAGAGGAGAATGTTACAGAGGTAGCCTCAATTGATGTATTATTCGTTCTCGTTCTGCTTCTTTGAATGTTACTGAAGAGTTTTCCTCTCCACGCTCTGCTACATCATTACCCGTACGCGCCACGTCTAGTGCCTTGTTTCTACGCTAACACTTAGCACCTCATTCGTCATCACGCGCTCTTCTTATCTACATGTATGTGCTAAGTGTTGGTGTAGAGGCAAGGTGTTAGATGTGGCCGACGCTCTTGCTGATTGAGAGCTGCGTTGCTTTGCTGCTATATAGTTCATTGGATCGAAGGCGTAGTTGTGTTTTTCCAGAGTTCTGCTTGTGATGGTATTCTTCTGAATGGTCATCGAAGTAAATCTGAGTATGGTTCAAGACAGTTAGTGGCCTTCCAAGAGTATCTCTGGGTTTATGAGCCACAAGCTATGATGTGTATGTCGTGAAGGATACACGAGTGTGAAACTCCGCAGCTGATCCGGTCCATGGGGGGATTTTTGGTGGAGGCCGTCTTTTCAGGCCACATTACATGGCAAAAGCCATGGAAAGACATACAAAACACGTGCAAAGTATGAACTGGTGCTAACCTTCTTCGTGAGTAAGTGTTTTCGCTACGTTCAACAAAGATTATTTTTAATCTTTTATTCCGCCACTGTAGCCTTTCATTGAACTCGTAGTGCAGATTTAGTGGAACTTGACCAGGTCCGCACGGCCATAAACTTTTTCTTAGTCCGGCCATTTCTTGTACAGTAGGACTCACAATCTCCTGAAAAGTCGATGTCAACTAAAATTCTGCTGTGGGCCAAACCTAGCATAGTTACACATTCTCTTTTCTGTATCCTTGTAACCAATTCCCATACCTGTAGTAAAGAGACTGTCAAACTAACGTCTTCGCCGCGATCTGTAGGAACAGTCTGACCCTTTTCCTGGCTTTCTTTCGGCATTTGGCGCCTCTAGCAAAATTAGAAGTGTAGCAGTGGAAATACGTGAAACATCTCTTCTGACGTTACGTGCCTACTTATTGTCATGTAGACACATCATGCCATGATCGCCTTCCCGCGGGGTTTTCCCGCTGTGCAGCTGTATCGAGGCCATCAGTAGTTTGTGCAGGTTACTCACCGTCGCTGGCGAGGTTTTTCTTGGTACAACAACATCCACAGTTACTCTGTACATGCACAAACCACAGATGAACACACACACAAAGCTGTGACTGGTCTGGAGCAGGAGGCAGATTTAACCCTTTGTGAACCCACTGAAAGTACGACAATTTACTCACCTTCAAATTACATGCACTTTCGCTTGTATCTCTGCCAAACATTCACCGAATTTTACAAACTTGCCACCGCTGGAAAGGTATTTCAAAGACGAAGAGACTAATACCACACTCAAAGCAGCTACATACACGGACTCTGCTCTGAGTTGCCTAGAATGCCCCTCAAAACAGCAGCCGTGCGCGAACAGCTCCAGCAAAGTTCAAACAGCCGCCATTCCATTCTCTTTCATCAGATCGACGTCACACAAACTACAGCGGAAAGCTCGTTTCAAGCGCAAACTTCTGGTGTGCTGCATGCTTGAGTATGACGTAGCACGCCGGGGAAAACCCCTGCCAAGTGCAGTGTGAAATTTTGAATTTTTCGATCGGAGTGTATTTTTCAGCTTTCCTCCGACCTCGAGTCCCACCACGGCGGCATCGTACCTCATAGAGACTTCGGATAACATCGACGTAATAGCCAAGGTTCCTCTCGAAACGTAGATGCTTTGTTTATGAAAATCGGTGAAGGAACACCAGAGATATGATATTTTGAGTGCCACTGTATACCAATCGATCGATATCGATCGATGGGGTCACAAAGTAGAAAAGGGAACAGGAGATGAGAGAATATACATTGAGAACTAAATACAGGGGCAAAGGGAGAGAGTTGGGGAAAGAGATAGATAGAGATAGATAGATAGATAGATAGATAGATAGATAGATAGATAGATAGAGAGAGAGAGAGAGAGAGAGAGAGAGAGAGAGAGAGAGAGAGAGAAGAGAGAGAGAGAGAGAGAGAGAGAGAGATAGATAGAGAGAGAGCCTGAGAGAGAGAGAGAGAGAGAGAGAGAGAGAGAGAGAGAGAGAGAGAGAGAGAGAGAGAGAGAGATACAGAGAGAGAGACAGAGACAGAGAGAGAGAGAGAGAGAGAGAGAGACACAGAGAGAGAGAGAGATAGATAGATAGATAGAGAGAGAGAGAGAGAGAGAGAGAGAGAGAGAGAGAGAGAGAGAGAGAGAGAGAGAGAGAGAGAGAGAGAGAGAGAGAGAGAGAGAGAGGGAGAGAGAGAGAGAGAGAGAGAGAGAGAGAGAGAGAGAGAGAGAGAGAGAGAGAGAGAGAGAGAGAGAGAGAGAGAGAGAGAGAGAGAGAGGGAGAGAGAGAGAGAGAGAGAGAGAGAGAGAGAGAGAGAGAGAGAGAGAGAGAGAGAGGGGGGAGGGGA